ACTCCATTTGTCTCCAGCTCTTAAAGGCTGGTGTTAGAGTGAATGATAGACGTTTTGTTTTGAATTAGCAAAAAGGAGGAGGAAAAAAAAAACCCTACGAAATAAGTTTGGCCTAAAATATCTATTTCAGGGAATGCAGCTCTGCCATCTCCTCTAGTAAATGTTCATTTAAAAAATCTAGATTTAATGTGACATTAAGTTGGACCTGGGATAGAGAGAATAGTGGGGAGGGAAATGTCTCAGATTTTTCTCCTACCCGGATTGAGTGCTTGTTCTACTTCATCCCACCGGAGGTCTGTTGCACGGAATAGTGCAAGATGTTCACAGCTCTGTTTTGTTGAACATCCCAAAGCAGAGCTTGGAAGCAGTTGAGTCTGTGTCTTTTAACTGTACAAACTTTTCACGGTGGGAATCTTGGATAAGACTTGATAGTTTGGGTTGAAAACTATACAGCACAGCCATTCTATCTCTCTGTACGGCACACTCACTCGTGCTTATTGGAACTAAAGGCTGGAAGTTCTAGAAGCACTCCGCCTGTTTTCCTCCCTGCTATCTTTGACTCCCACCTCGGCGTGTCCACCCTGGCACAGACTCTCTCCATCAGTAGCCATGCTAGGCAGGGGTGTGTGCTTTCATGGAGGTGCCTCTTAAGGCCAGGTGTAATTCCCTGGCCAGAAAATGCCATCATTTGGCCAAAGTTTAAAAATCAGTATGTGGTGACGCTGGAATGTCCTCTTACCCTCTTTGTTATGAAGGTCTCCGGAATGGCAGGAAACCTTGGGAATCCGCCGTGTTCCTCAGGTCCTCTCAGTCCCTCACATGAGCCCATTGTATATTTTCCTCCTTTTGCCTCATGACAAAGATCTGAAAGCAGTCCCCTTGGGGTAAGACTCTTAAGGAAGTAGTGCAGTGGTTCTCAACCTTCCTAATGCCGCAACCCTTTGATACAGTTCCTCATGTTGTGGTGACCCCCAACCATAAAATTATTTTCGTTGCTACTTCATAACTGTAATTTTGCTACTGTAAACAATATGTAATTATATATGTGTTTTCCGATGGTCTTGGGCAACCCTGTGAAAGGGCCGTTCAACCCCCAAAGGAGTCGGGACACACAGGTTGAGAACCGCTGAAGTAGTGGATTCAAGGCTTTCTCACCTATGAGCTTTGTTCTACAACCACAATCAGAAACTCATAGAAAAGACTCTTAGTGTGAGAAAGACCCCTTTCTATCTTATTCTAACAAGGGTTGGCCCACTTGCACTAAACAGAAGACCCAACACTTTGTCAAGGGTGTCCAGGAAGGCTTGTTCAGCAAAACTCAAGGAAAAGGGAAGAAAAAAACCTTCTCTTTCCACTCCATCTGGAGTTTCGAGGGACTCCAAAAATATTGGCCCATAGTGACAATAAAAATCTCCCATTTATGCTGTTCTAAAACAAGGGCAAAGCCTCACACAACTCAAAACACTTCTTTTAAATGTTCATAGGAAAATGACCTTTCTCTCCAAGTCCTTTAGCTGGCTGAAATTAATGAAACACAGTCGGAGGCACCTATGCTGGCCACTGGCCACCATTCATTTGGAACACCCCACCTCGGCCATTCATAGATTGCAGAACTGTTTTCTCTTGACTTCAAAATTTCTCTTTTCTCCTTATACTAGTAGGTAAATAACAACTTGCATGAAAATCACTGATGCAGGTGTCACTGACATTTTGGGTAGCTATGAGAAAACCGGCATCTTTTCCCTGGCTACTCAAAGAACACCAAGAGGAAAGTAGAGAAGAAGGTACCTGAAAGAGCTGATATCTCCAAGTTCATTATTTAAAAAATGGGTGGGGTTATGCCAACAAGGAGGAGGAAGCTTCCAGACCTCTGATAGCCTCTTTTGCTAACAATCAGATAATCCAAAGGAAGATCAAGGGTTTCTGCTAACAAAAGAGAACTAAAGGAGAGAGAAAAAGAAAAAGAAAAAAAAAAGAAAGGAGAGAACTTAAAGGAAAAGAGATAAAACTTTAGAAAATAAAAGAGAAACAATTATCATTTCCCTTTTTACTTGCATCACTGGAAGGAGAAAAAATTAGGGAAATTCAGTGCTGGGGTAAACATGACCCCAATAGATGGTGGAGCCCAGAGAGAAGTTTGTTATGGCTGTCATGACCCATGGCCCATCTATACTCACTAGCCCCCATTCTGGCCATGCTGTGAACCCTAAAATATTTCCAGTGCTTCTTCTAAAGCACATGTGGTGCAGAGAGACTAGCAGGCGCCAATGAGCTAAGGAGGAAGTTCAGGGAGCAAAAGAGGTACATTTCCCCCAACTTGCCTCTTTACTGTCTGGACAAGACAATATTCCATGGCACCTGACCCTGAGAAGGACCTGCCTTCTGTCTTTTGGACATTAAAGGGCTAGTCCTGGGCCTCTCCCACAGTCCAGTCTGATCAGTTCTCATTGGCTGATGAAGAAAATGGTCCCAAAGGAAGGTACTGATGTGTGAAACTCCTGGAGAGGAAGCTGGGGAGCCAAACACATGCTCATGAGTGGAGTTAGCTAGAAGGGTAGGGTAAGCCCCCCAGAATGGTTTGAGGCATATCCCACAGAAGTGAGGAAAGGAGAAGGAATAAAACAGGACCAAGACATTAGAGGAGAGAGAAATAGATAGACATATACATTAGAAGTAGCCTGAAGATTTCTTTCTCCTGCCCTAGCTGGTTTGGCTCAGTGGATAGTGTGTCAGCCTGCAGACTGAAGAATCCTGAGTTTGATTCCAGTCAAGGGCACATGCCTGGGTTTCAGGCTCGATCCCCAGTGGGGGACATGCAGGAGGCAGCCGATCAATGACTCTCTTGTCATTGATGTTTCTATCTCTCTCTCCCTCTCCCTTCCTCTCTGAAATCAATAAAAAAGTAAAAATAAAAAAAAAAAAATGAGATTTCTTTCTTCTGTCATTTATCAGTGAAACTTCCTCCGTACAGTTTTTGGTGGCATTTTCTAAACCACAGCTCTTCTCCCTTCACATATTCTCTCTGGGTAGCCTCACCCACTGTCATGATTTTAATTCCTAAGTGTAGGTTCTGACTGTGAACATCTCTGTCTCTAGTTCTCACCTGAACTTCAGACTTGCATATCTCTTATGTTCTATACATATGTCCTTGGATGTCCCTTCAAATTCAATGAGTCTCAGTGAAAACTCACTGCTCTTCCTTCTTGGTTCCCAAACAGTCTCCTCAAGGAAAATGACCTTATCTGGGCAAATTCCTGCTATTTTCTGTCTCTTGCCTACCTCTCTGAGGAGAGCAGTAACTCTCCTGCCATCAGTTAATCAAGTTTCTTTCGGCCCTCTCCAGCCTTGACCTTGACTATTTCTACCTGTTGTGCGGACAGAAGGGTGGCAAGTGAAGGGAAAGCACCACTAATAATCACTTAGAGATAGTCTTAAAGCAAATAAATTGTAGTTCAAAGGCTTCATCTAATCCATTCATTTATTCATTCAGTTAGTCAGTCGTTTCATAAATATTATTAAATGTCTATTGTATACCACCTTCTTCTGGTGCTCTGAGAAATGTAAAAGGCACACTCTTCAATTTCAAAAATTATGAAATGTCGATGGGAAATGACAGCTTTACATACAAAGGGCTATAACAAACTGCAGAAAAGACAAATGCTCTGAGAGTGATATAAATGCTAAGGGAGTTCAGATGAGGAGAATTAGAGAGAGGTCCATGTGCAATATACTAAACATCAGCATACTCGTGAAAGAATGATGATGGGGTGTTATGGACTGAACTGTGTTCCTCCCAGATCCACATGTTGAAGTCTTAATCCCCAGCAGCTGAAAACAGGACTGTATTTGGAGATCAGGTCTTCAAAGAAGTGATTATGTTAAAATTAGGCAATTGGGGTGGGCCCTAACCTGATATGACTGGTGTCTTTTAAGAAGAGGAAATTTGGAGAGAGAGACGTCTGACATATACATGCAGTGGGATGGTCATGTGAAGGCACAGGGAGGAGATGGCCCCCTGTAAGTCAAGGACAGAGCTCTCACAAGAAAACAAACCTGCTTGACTTTTTTTTTAAATCCTCACTGGAGGATATATTTATGTTGATTTTGAGAGAGATAGGAAGGGAGAGAGAAACACTGATGTGAGAAACATCGATCAGTTGCCTCCCATACACATGCTGAGTATCGAATCCACAGACTAGGTATGTGACCTGACTGGGAATGAAACCCACGTTATTTTGGTGTACGGGGCGACTCTCCAACCAACTGAACCACCCAGCCAGGGCTGCTGACATCTTTATCTTGGACTTCTAGCCTCCAGAACTCTGAGAAAATAAATCTCTGTTGTTTCAGCCACCCAGTCTGTGGTATTTTGCTATGGTAGCCATAGCAAACTAATACAGGGTGTAACTGATATAATCCTGAAACAATATTTGCCTGAGAACCATGCTAAATTCCTTAAAAAACTTTCATCCTACTGATGCCCACTTTGGTAAAATTGTGAACAAGTGAATTTTCCTTTAGTTTCTCCATCCCTTGTCTTTTAAAATCCCCTCTTCCTGCTCCCCAGGTAGACTTTCTGCTGGTAGAAGTTCTCCCCCAGCTGAGAAGAATTTGTCGAAAGTGAGGGGTACTTAATACTCCTGACATCATCAGTGTTTGTGCAAAGGGAGCTAACCCCCTGAAAAACTGACTCATCTTCTCTTCATTACCTCAAGTCATCAGCATTCTTTGCAGGAAGTAAGGACTTCATTGTTGAAGGGGGACTGTTTTGCTTAAGATATTATATATGCAAGAAAAAATAAAAAATAAAGCAAAAAAACATATTACAAAACAATTCCTTCCGAACTTGATAGATTGCCTGGTAAATAAATGATGAGGGGCATTGCAGAAAGCTTGGCTTCTCTCAATGCATCCTTAGGTGCAAGAATCAGGCAGAGAGGCTATATAATTGCTAAGAGCAGAGTACCAACCCTGCCCCCAGTCACATAAACTCTACTCACGGTTAAGCAATCAGATATCCACGTCTGAGCCTTCTTGTTGATTACCAATCCCTGTGGAATTGGATTGGGTGAACTTGGAATGTTTTAATGATACCTGGAATAAAAGGAAAATGGAAACATAATTAAGAGAATGAACTTCTGTTAATATAGACAATATAAAATATCACTTTTACTCATGTGCTAGTGTTAGAACTTAAAGGGGAAATGAGGCATAGCTATAAATATATATTGTGCATTTTAAAGAAAATAATACAATTGTTACAGAATCAATCGCTAAATTATTCTAAATAATAGGGCAGAGAAGGTGGTATAGTTAATACAAAACAGAGAGTACTACACATGCCAATAGTCCAAGGTAAATGCCTTAGAACAAGGTCAAGGACACCCCCTCTCTAAGCTCAACCTTCAAGCCTTCTAAGCTTCAGACTTCAAAGACCCTATGCTTTGCCAGAAGTGCTGTTGATGGTTAGGGACTCGACCAGTTGGTAGAAGAGGAGGTACTGGAGGGTTAAACATAACTATAGAAATATGCTAGTAGAAAATCTAGAGTTAACTCTCTTGCAATTTGAAACACAGCAATAAATATTTAACATTAGACCAAAGAAATAATAACTGTGACAGTAAGTCACAATCACACTGCTAAACCTGCCCCAACATGATACTACAAGGGATGCAAATGAGTATGGGTGTGGGAACTGCAGCTTTGGCTTTTTAATGCTTGCCTTTCATTCAGTAGAATAATGTGAGTCTCAACTGGATCTTAAGATCATACCTTGTTTTCCCCCACCCCTACCCCCACCTCTGTCATTTTGCACGGGAAGAAAATCGAAGTTCACAGAGATCAAGGGATTGGCTCGAAATAGTACTGCTAGAGATTGGTCCTGGAGTCCTAGATTCTCATTTCAGGTTTCACAGGTAAACAAACAAATAACAAATCAAACAAAAACCTGCCTGGTGTGTTACCTATGGTTTGTATGTATCTGAGGAAGGCTGGTTTGCAAACTAGGAATCGGGGCTCCTAAATTTGTCAGCAAATCCAGGTGCCACCCTTTCCTTACTCTGAGGAGTCACTCGGGCTACCTTCAGCTCCCTTCCCTGAATACCTACCATCTCCTCCTACTCATCCCAAACGCCTGCGCCAATTATTGTATTGCCGACGCAGCTAATGTACCTTGCTTAGCATACAGGGATATGGGCCCTGCCTTAACAGAGCCAGAAATCTAGTTAGAGTGATAAAACATATCATTATACTTCTAAGTTACAAAGCCAGAAAGCAGTAAGAACTCCAAATCCCATTTAAATTCCTTTCCTTCTACCGTGGGCCAAATTTTGGAGGCCTTTTCTATAAATCTGAGAAGGGGACAGGAAAACCCGTGAGCCATCCCCAACTGGAAAGCTTGCCTAAACCTGGTTCATAATCTGGTTCCTTTCAGCTCTGAGTCCCCCTGCCAGCGCCCAGTAGGGCATTACAAAATGAATATTGAGCGAATGAATAAACAGAAACCATGAACGAGTTTCAGGGAAGATTGTGAATTCCCCGAAACTGTAGGCCAAATTTTGTGTGTTTAAGCTTTCACTAGCTTTTGCTGATTTCCCAAAGCCATCTCGGCTCCTTCCCTGCCCCCTCCCCCAACTAAGAACCACTTGCTCAGTGATTTGAAGAGTAGTAGAGGATGGAATTTAGATGAGACAAATTACAAAGTGTGTTCCTATGAGTAAATGTATAAACAAATATAGATTTAGTGCCCCCTATGTGCCAAGAACAGGGTATACAACAAGGAGCAATTAGCCGTTGTACTTGGCCTGGTGGCACTTATGCTGTGCTGTCACCCTAAATGGGGATTCTCAGACTGGCTGCATATCAGCATCTTCCAGGGATGTTTCTTTAAAAAAACATACACACACCAAAATATATGGGACACACCTCAGAGGTGCCCAGGAATTTGCACCTTAAAAAATTCCCATTGGAATGCTGGTGCAGATGATAGCACCCACCCCATGACGCCTCCCACCCTTGACCCTCAGACTGCAGTGAAGGCTAGGAGATCAGAAGAGAGCAAGGAGTGACCCGTCTGGATTGTAAAGGAACACACAGAAAGACACTGAAGTTTGTAAAGAAAAAATTCACAGTACCTTTGAGGGGGAACTCAAGAGGTTAAAAATTTTTAGCTTTGGTTATACAGTTAATAGGCTTGGTGATTAATGCACTAGAAAGCCATTGTTCCAGCAACCTTTGTGCCCCAGGAGGACTGCAAGCAACCAAGATGGTATCTAACTCAGTGTGCTCCAGGGAGAGAACGTCTAGTCAGCAGCCCAGGACACAGATAAAGAATCACCAGTCAGCAGATGAAGGGATGCTAGCAGAAGCGCCAGACTGCAGCTTTTATCTGATTCACCCTTTTCCCCGAATTCCAACCCCCTTACCTACTTTTCTTCTGAATTCCAAACCCTTTACCTACACTTTCCTTCTCCCTATAGAAAAGGTTGGCTTGAAATGAGATATAAGACGGTCTTTAGGACACATATTCCTCCATCTTCTCAGATCTCCAGCCATCTGAATAAAGCGCCCATGAACAGCACGTCTAGGAATGTATCCCAAGAAACTAGAAACACCCATCAGAAAGGATATATGCACCCCTATGTTCATAGCAGCACAATTCACCATAGCTAAGATTTGGAAACAGCCTAAGTGCCCATCAGCACATGAGTGGATTAAAAACCTGTGGTACATCTACACAATGGAATACTACGCTGCAGTAAAAAAGAAGGAATTCTTACCATTTGCAACAGCATGGATGGAACTGGAGAGCATTATGCTAAGCAAAATAAGCCAGTCAGAGAAAGATAAATACCACATGATCTCACTCATTTGTGGAATATAATGAACAACATAAACTGATGAACAAAAACAGATCCAGAGACAGAGAAGCATCGATCAGACTGTCAAACCTCAGAGGGAAGGTAGGGGAGGATGGGGGTAAGGGGGAGAGATCAACCAAAGGACTTGTATGCATGCATATAAGCCTAACCAATGGACACAGACACCAGGGGGGTTAGGGCATGAGTGGAGGGGTGGGGTGTGGGGGCAATGGGGGGGGGGCGGATAAGGACACATACGTAATACCTTAATCAATAAAGAAAAAAACAAAACAAAATGAAAAGATTCAATCCTTTTCTCTACTTATTGGTTCTGGTAGTGACAGGTAGCACAAATGCCAACTTTTCCACCTTCCCCAAACACTGAAAGGGTCAGTATTTATTTGCCTAATTTCCCTTTCCCTGCTTTCTATTTCCTCAAAATTTTTATTTTAAAACTTGGGGATGAATACAGAAAAAATAGAGGAAGAAAATGGTATCAGTAGAAAAACATTTTTTTGGTCTATAGCGTCTGTATATATGCTTAGGAACTATCTTGTTAGTGAGACAAATCTTGAAAGGCTTTTAAGAGAAACTATAAAGTGAATGGCAAAGTGGCTAAGAGTGGAGTTGGTCTTCAGATATACTTTCCTTTCTATTTTCAGATTTAGGATCAAAGGGCCAGGAAGTTAATAAAACTCTCACCCCTTGCTGTAAGATCTTTCTCTCCCGCCAGTTAGCTTACAACTTCAAATAGATGCCTTGGTGAACCATTACTCACTGATCTGTTAGTCCACAGGGTTTAATTCACTGGCCAACACACAGATTGTGGCTGACCTGGCTCAGAGGTAGTCGCTAAAATTCTCTACAGGCAAGGCCTGGTTGAGACTGGACATGGTAAGGAAGGAAAGACCTCGATTTTCGATGAAAGAAGAGAGGAGGGAGAGAGAGAGAGAGAGAGAGAGAGAGAGAGAGAGAGAGCGAGCGAGCTGGGCTGAATTAGGCAAATGAGTGGGTCTTCCTTCCCAGCCAGCGACAAACAGCCAGGGGCTAGTCGCTGCTCCTTTGCTTGAGCCAGCAGTATGTGGGGGAGTTTGGGTTTTGTATGAACATTTATTCACTGCGGGAGAATCGAGGTGTGATAAAGGAAAGGAGGCCTCTCTCTCCTCCCAGTGAGATTCCTAGTCCTCCAAGAGCTGTGATTTTCTGAAAACCCTCAGGGTGCCTCCAGCCAAAGCCACTCAGTAGCCCAAGAAACAGAAAGTAGCACTTTCCTGGATGACTCAAATGGAAAACGTTGCCACTACCTACGTAGTTGTAAAACGTGTTTAAAATTCTACTTTGAAATTCTGATCACAAGTGTTCACAGAAAGATAGCATTTTCCAAATGGATACCAAGGGGTTGGGTGAAGGAGGCCATCTTGAAGGATCATTTATTATAACAGGGAGTTATCACACAGGTTGAATTAGGGATCCTTTATAAAAATGAATAACTTTGTATAGCCAACAGGAAGAACCCGATTTTCATTCATTTAAAAATTTACCTTATGTGATTGAATTAGGACCCTTTGATTTCAACTTTAATATTTATATACCTTCATGACTCTTTTTTAAATAATATGGTCTATGGACATAGTGATAGCTACTGTGCGTTAAGGTCCTGTTCTAAGCCCATTGCACACATCTATCTCATTTGACCACTATAACAACCTAGTGAGACACACACTTTTATCTTAGGATAAGCACTGAGGAGTTCCTTGTATTTAAGTCATTTGTTTAATTCACCCAGCAAGTAAGTAGCGAAGCCACTATTGAAACCCAGCCTGATGATTGTATTGGAAGGATACATGCCCACATGCGGTTATCCTAAACCAGACTAGGACACTGTGATGAGCAAGGACTCTGCCTTCACAGAGTGTACATTCTGGTGGGGTACAGATGACACACATGTTTCCTATAGTGAGTAAATACCTCGGCGTTCTGTGATAGAGGGCCACTGGAGGTTGGATGGTGAGGGATGGTCTGTACGAAGAGGAGACATCTAGGGTGAAAATACATTTCTAGGAAAGAGTAACCCATGGGAAGATCTGGGGAAAGAGTGTCCCATGAGGAGCCCTTGGGAATCCTGGTGTGAGGTAGAGGCTTTTATAAAACGACTGTATGCTCTGTGATCATGAAACTCTTCCAAGTTATTTGGTCCACATGGAATTCAGGCTTATTCGTCCTTGAGTAGAATAC